ATTTCATCTAAACAATTTGGTCTGTGTTCTAGAGTGGTGGTGAAGCCATTTTACAGTAAATGCTGTCACACAGAATGCTGCCACTGTTGCCAACATGTATACAGTGATGGCAGCAACATGGACGGTTCTAGATGGGGGGCCAGCAGGGAACAGGGCCCCCTGTAGAAACGGTTATGGCCCCATTAGTAAAGACCTAATATTATATAAAGGAATATGCTCCGGTACAGAGCCTGTAAATTATCAGTCCCCCTTGAACCACTTTTATTTTAAAGAAGGAAGGAAAAATGTTGTTTCACTTTAAATGCATGTCATAATTTTTTTTTTTTTTTTTTTTTTTTTTTTTTTTTAGAACTTTTATATTTTGATTATTTTTTACAGAGCAATAATACAGCCATACATCAATGGTACATAACACAAATATTTACTATATAAAGTTTTCCATAAAATAAACATCTTAGCTCGATATCTTCTGATCTCAGCCTCACATTTGTAGGGTCATCATCCTAAAACCCTAAAATAAGGACACACTAATAGCTAAACACCATATGCCATCAACATAGCTTTTGCTTGCCCCCAGCTCAGGCTAAAAGTGTTTTTTTTAAGTCTTAATGAGTAGGTTATCTTTTCCATTTTATATGATTCCCTTACTTTTTGAACCCATAAGTCATAGGATGCATAATGCATTTTATCTTGAAATAGGATCATGTTTATTTCCTCTATGGCTTTTGGTTCACCTAATATTACAAACAATGAACTATTTCCTTTTTTGTTAGTTTTTTTTTTTATTCTTTTGTTTGGTGTTTAAAAAAATAATAAAATAAAATACTGGATCTTTAACGTCTGAAATTGGAAATTACTCTTAAGCTCACAAAGATTAGCTAGGCTTGTCCATCCAAATTTGGTTTTTAAAAGAGAAACATTCTGCCCTGTTGAATTCAATTGAGCATACATTTTAAAGATGGTTCCCTCGATGTGCTTAAAAAAAAAAGTAATCTTAAGTTAAGAAAGATCTATAAAAAACCTGTAAACTCTTCCCCATGATTTAATATCGGTGCCTTGAAGACCTGCAAACCTTTGGTCTCCCAAAGCGATGTCCATCAGGTCTTTAGTTTGGATAGTTATGAAAGCATCAACCTACATTTTCTCAACTAGGGGCTGAGCCTTATGATGACCATAATAATAAACCACAAAATCAGATTAGGTCTACAATTGTTTTAAATCATGTTTTATTCTCTTCCTGAGGTTCATTATTCCTTAAAAGGTAAAAAGAAAATCAATCAGAAAAGAAGGTGAGAAACTGAACATGTTGCCTGGAAAATGATATGTTTTACTTTTATTTATATATATGCATGCATACATTGCCGTTTAATGAAGCCAGGCATTGCAACACCACATCTTGCAGCTACATGTCCAGGCACTGTTCTTCTGATTCAGCATTTTCACCTCCTATTGTCATTCTTACAGGACAATAAGCTGAAGTTTGCCCAGTATCTGGAAAATGAATACAGGGTGAAGATCAACCCATCCTCCATGTTCGACGTCCATGTCAAGAGGATCCATGAGTACAAACGGCAGCTGCTCAACTGTCTTCACATCATCACCTTGTACAACCGTACGTGCTGCAATTTGTGCTTAATCATTCGATCTGAAACAAAATGCTCTTGCAGGTAATTAAAATTGTCAATCTGAGTCATCATTTGGATGAAAAGTGATGTTCACAGGTGGAATATTCCACACCCACCTGGGGCTTCATGTTAAAACAGACATGAGGAATGCAGCCTTTAAGATCAGCTGTGGGAATTTTCCACAAAGCCCCAAAGCTGTGATTAAACTGTGAAGCAATTTCATCAGCCAATAAATTATAAATTTTCCTTAGCTGAAAGCTTTTTCATTATTTGGAGTCTTCTGCACCAATGTGCTGCATGCATTGCCTGTTTATCAAGTATTCATAATTTACTACTATAATGAAACTCATTTCGAACCCAAAGCTCTGATGATTTTATGTAATGACCATAAAGTGGCGAACATTTCCAAAGGAAAAGTCTTTTACTTTTTTTTTTTTTTTTTTTTCCCCTTTTAACCCAAATCTAAAATTAGTCCCATTACTGCCCCCTGCTGGCTGTGTCTGTAGAGCTGCCCCTCTGATCTGAAAAGTGTTAAAAGATAAATGGATTTATGTGCAGACCATCCCTCCAGTTTGATGCTGCTGAAGGGAAGTGTTGGTTTTCTGCGGCACATAATGATTAACAAGTTGTTTGAAAAGTTCATTTCTGGGCTTGTCTGAACAGAACCCAGTAGTTCTCTGTAGAATGAGATTGCCATTGGCTCTCAGTAATGGCCTACTTTCTGCCATTTTACCATCTCTGCCAGATATTTGCCTTCCACAACATTATATGGCAGCTTTTTCTCCCACCAGAGCTGTGGAGCTCTCCAGCTCCTCCAGAGTCGAGGGCCCTTAATGATATTAAATGTGCGGAATCTGAAAGAAAAGAATATCAGTTTCTAACTTGGTTTTCTTGTCTGTTTTTTGCTCTTTTCTGAAGGCATCAGGAAGAACCCCAATGCACCTTTCGTACCACGAACGGTGATTATCGGAGGAAAGGTAAGAGGCAACCTGCATATGATGCAGAGCTAAAGCAGTGCAACATGATGTAACCCTCCCATTGTCGCCCTTGGCAGGCTGCACCTGGATACCACATGGCGAAATTGATTATTAAGCTGATTACATCTGTGGCTGATGTGGTCAATAATGATGCTGTGGTAGGAAGCAAGCTGAAGGTAATCTTCCTGGAGAACTACAGGGTTTCTCTTGCAGAAAAAGGTAAAATATTCATAACAAAGTTGTCTTTTGTGGAACAGAAAACACGTCCCTGTAATTTCCTGTGATTCGCTCTTCCTCAGTGATCCCTGCAACAGATCTGTCAGAGCAAATCTCCACTGCTGGCACTGAGGCTTCAGGAACGGGCAACATGAAGTTTATGCTGAATGGAGCTCTGACCATCGGAACCATGGATGGAGCCAACGTGGAGATGGCAGAAGAGGCCGGAGAGGAGAACCTCTTCATCTTTGGCATGCGGGTGGAGGATGTGGCCGAAATGGACAAGAAGGGGTAACGCTTCATCAAAGGGAACATTTATAACCTCACCTGAGGATTTCTTTTTAAGCTCTACAAGCTTTGCTCTTTCAGATATGATGCCATGTCCTACTATGATAAAATCCCTGAGCTGAAACAAGTAATGGATCAGATTGCCAGTGGATTTTTCAGCCCCAAGAATCCGGAGCTTTTTAAGGACCTCACTAACATGCTCTTCAAACATGACCGGTGAGACGTTTACCTTTTTTATTTAGCTAAAACTATCTTCATCTTCTGACAATCTTTCTCTTACAGATTCAAAGTGTTTGCAGACTTTGAAGACTACATAAAATGCCAAGAAAAAGTCAGCAAGCTCTATCAGGTAAAATCTCCCTAAAATATAGATGTTAGAAAAACAGATTTAGCTTCGTCATTATGCTTTCCTGTATGTATTCTTTGACAGGAATTTTGCATACATTCTTACTTTAAAAATAAAATCTTGGATTTCATTCGAATAAAATGATCACTTGCACAATTAAAGGCTCTCATAGCAATAATAGCGAAATAAATATAACTCGGTCAGTTATTGATTCAACCTCATTATAAATCTACCCTTAGGAATTTGGAGTTTTCTCTTAGCTTTGAGCACTGGGCTGGAAAAATTAATCTTGCACCAATAAAGGACATGATGGTGCTGGAGGGTTAGGAAATCTTCAATATTCTCCTGAAAGACTTGATGCTGACCAATTTTCAGCTTACTTTCACAATCCACCAGATTTATTTTAAAGCTCTTAATTTCTACGGACTGCTATGGAACCCAGCAGGGTTTCCAGGTCCTTAAGGAGGGAAATGGGCCCACAGCATGACGGATTCTCCAAAAAAAAAAAAAAAAAAAAAAAAAAAAAAAACATTGGACATGCTATGTGTTAGAAACTGTATTTCTCTTTTTTTAAGTTTGTTGCAGAAAATGTTTCTTAAAAAATAAAAACCTCAAATCCAGACTCAAAACTTTCCTGTTCAGACAGTCTTATCCCATCTCGTTCATATGCATCACTCTAATATTGTTTTCTTCCTTTGGCTTTATTTTACTTCCTGCTGTTTTGTTTTCTGTGGCATCTTTATGGTTGTACTTTTTAGCTTCCTGTTTTTAATGTTTTATCTGCCTGTAAAGTGTCCTTGGGTGTTTTGACAAGGCGCTTTCCAATAAAATGTAGTAGTATTATTCAAATTAAACTTAATTAAACTTAAATCAAAATTAAACAGTGAAATGGAATGTTGTGGATACCAGGATTTGAGTCTTCTTCCTAAACTAATGCACACTCTAATCTGTGTTTCCTTTGTAATAGAATCCAGTGGAATGGACAAAGATGGTAATCAAGAACATCGCAGCAACAGGAAAGTTCTCCAGCGACAGAACCATCACAGAATATGCTACTGAGGTGTGGGGCATGGAGCCCACCGACCTGAAGATCCCTCCCCCTAGTGAGCCCAGGGAGGCCATCGAGGAAACGGTCAAAGCTCTGAAGAAAATGTGAAAATGTTTCGCATCCCCTGGGCTGCCATTTCGTTTACAGAACAAAGCCTTTATGCAACTTATTACCGTTTTATTATTTTTCTGTTTTTCAGGGGAATCTAAGGTGCTTTTTATCTTTTTCCCCTTTGCATCTTAGTCAAAGCACTGTTACATTTCTTTAGCGCCAACACATTCAGTCTCTGAAGGGTGGAAAAGCTCTGAAAACTCACTCATTTCTGACATTCCTAAGGATCAGGAGGGTTTTAGGATTCAGGAAGTTAAATGGTTATAAGGAAAGCAGACCTGAGGTGATCTGTACTTAGAAAAACTGTTTATAAGAGGAAAAAATAGTGTTTAGAAAGACAAAAGACTAATGAATCTTGTTCTCTACTTGCTGAAATAAAACTTCAAAAGCAAAGTGATGCAAGTTTTTATTTGTTTTTGGTTGTCTTGCATTTTTCTGACTTTGTAGGAAGGATGGTCCTTTCATCAAGTTTGTAGAAATGTCCTGCAACATGCAAGTCTGAGTTAAATTCAAATGGACATTATTTTTGAGCTCAGATTTAAGCTGGTCTCCTGACTTACTGCACCACATCTGACAAATCGGGGTCCAAGCATATGTGGCTGTGGGACAGTCCAAGGTTTCCTCTGTAGGTGATCATCTGAACTCGAGCTTCTGAGTTGGATTCCTTCCGGGCTTGCAGCGCTATCTGGTGCAGCTGGAGCAAATGGTTGCAAACCGTTTCAGCAAAGCAGGCACGCTTGCAACAGGAAATTAGGCGGGAAGAAAATCCACTGTACCTTCTGACCCATACGGTAGGGAACGATGTTATCGTCCTCTGCATGCAGGATCAGAAGTGGACTGCTCAGGGTCTTTAAACTGCAGCAATAAGAGCAGACTGTAATAATCAACATGGCTGCTGACTGGCTTTGTTTTAAGTAAACTTACTTCTCATCATTGGCAAATGATATGTTTATCTTTTCCAATAAGTTCCAGAGCAAGCTCTCAACTCCTGGCAGCAACGTGTACATCTGGAACACAGAAGAGTAGCAGCATCCTTCATCTCGGTATATATCAAATTAAATCTTTTATAGGATACTATTTTATTTTATTTTTTTCCTTTTACTGAACAGTTTATCAGTCTGGACAATATTGATTTAAATGTCTAGAAAAGGGAAGAGAGCTCTGAAGTCTTCAATTTGGGCACTAAGAATAGAGATGCTAAAGTTCTGATTTGCAGAATTTTAAAGATAAAAAAAATCCAAATGAAGATGATGCTGAATATAAAACATTTTAAAGCTTATTTTTACAAAAAAATTCATATATCCTTAATATTGCCTAAAACTGCAATCTACTCCCAAAAGGTCCTAAACTGAATGCAGAAATGCTGCTAATGACTTTAATCTGCTGTTTCACTCTAAGTCTTTAGGTAAACAAACCGCTGCAAAGGTCCACCTCACCTTAACAAGCAGATTATCTGCAATAACATCTCCAATTCTCGTGTATGGAGCTTCCAGGATTACAGCATCCACAGCAGACCCTGATGCATAAATGTTTAGAAAAGATAAATGCACAAATGTACCATATAAGAAGTTGGTATTTGTAAAAGTAATATGAAATGCATAGTTGCATTATTACTCGAGGGACTTTTTTGTTTTATTTTAGGGGGTATTTGAGAGAGAGAGGAAAACAAATACAAAGATTTAAGTCCTTTGGTCTGCCTCAATGACTTCCTATAACTCTAACCCACCTTGTTCTTGTATTTTCACTGCAGTGTTGGTTGCCACTCTGGGAAAAAAAAAGAATTATTTGTGTTTTGGTTCTTTATCATTAGAAGTCGGTGGGTCTAAATAAAAACACAGGAGAAACTGACCCAGAGCCCAGAGAGTGGCCCCACAGACAGACCGGGCTCCCTTTGCTTTGTGCCTTTGCCCAGTGATACAGGTAGAGGGCGTCAGCGGTCAATCCAGCTTCACTGGGATCTCCAGTGGAATCTCCAAATCCTCATTAAGACAAATTACAGCCTGAATTTTACATTTATTGTTCTTTGGGCTGATTGTTAAAAATCATATTACACCAGTTTAAATGTCAGTTTTCTTCTGGGTTCCAATTCAAATGAGAAGCTTTTACAGTTAATGTCAAAATTTAAAGTCATAGAGTAATGCATACCAATGGTCATATTTCATGAATTTGGTTTATTTTGAAATCAATACTACAGGATGGAGGGAAAGTCTTTAACGTGGTTTCCTTGCAGCCAGAGGTTTATTCTATTTCACTCTTTGTTGCGTGGTCCTTCAAAATACCCTAAAATGTCTAACAACATGATTATTGGACCCTTTAAATCATTAACCCTTTAAAGCCTGATCCAAGAATAAAACAAAACAGAAAATTACTTTTTTTGGTTTGAAGTCCTTATTTGGCCTTTTAACAAAATATGTAAAAAGAAAAAACAGAAATACATTTTTGATATTAATAATTTATTACTATGCGATAAGTCAAGATTATTTTTTGTGTAGTCTTCTACTGGCTGTTATCAGGTATATCTGATTGTGTACAATATGATTTTGAGCAAAGTTTTTACCATTAAATTATGCAAAAGGTGTCAGACGCAAAACATTTCAGAAACCGTATGTATCAAATATGATACATTTGGCATTATAGGGTTAAGGAAGTTTGGTCTCCTTTCACACACACATATATATATATATATATATATATATATATATATATATATATATATATTTTTTTTTTTTTTTTTTTTGTTCATTATCTCAATTCATTGGAAGTGGGGGGAAAAATTACAGCCTACTTAATTAAAATATTTAAACCGAATATATAGATTTTTCTTTCAAAATTAAATCCATCTCAATTTTTTCAGAAAACTTTAAAAGCCATGCATATAGTTCTGTTTTTCCATATGAAAACATGAGGAAAACTAGGAAAGTAGTATTTTTTTTTTCTTTGTACTTGAAGAGATTTCTCATTAAATGTTTGCAGAAAGAAATCCCTTTCAAACACCTTTTAGTTGTTTGTGTGTTCATGCAAATCAGGTCATATCATAGAGCTGCCTATGGATCTGAATCTGTGATTATGGCTGAGGGGAAATGGTTGTTTAATGGGTTGTTCTCTCACCTCTGTAGTCTAAAGATAAGACATGGTACCCTGCAGCACTCAGAACCTGCAACATTATAGAAGAATTTAGATTTTATATCCAAGCTCAAAAGCAAAACTGTTAAATCAAGAAACAAGTTCTTGCACTGATACAAACCTTCACCAGCTTCACTCTGTGACTTATTGCCCTGTGGGAATTAAAGGAGAGAATTTTTCTAACTGATTCATTCCTGCCAGCAACCTTTGCCTGAACTATTCAGGCCAAAGGAACAAAGAACCAAAGCAACCTTGTTATACCCACTAGACTCTATTAGGAACATTTCAAGGATGTGTACCCTGCTGCATTCATCCCACCTGCTCCCTACGTTTCCATGGAGGTAGATGACAATAGGACGCCCGTCTCCCAGTGTCTCGTGGTACCAGTCGAGATGTTTCCCAACGGCTGCGTCCCATTGGCTGACAGGGAGCGTGTGCCTTTTGAGACACACAGAGAGGCAGTGAAGAGAAAAAGTGGCACAAATGAAATACAAATGTGTTTCCAGATACTCTGCTGGTTCTTAAAGTGCTTTCTGTGCACTCAAGTGATGTCTCCATTCAACCAGGAGCCACCTGTATCAAACCAGCAGGCTGGATATTTAAGTATGAATTCACTTCAAGGAACAGATATGGCCTACCACACTCCCACTGAGACGCCCTTCTCTGTGCTGAGATAGAAGTTGCAAGTGTGGTTGAGGACATCCTGAGGTCTGCTGAGATCCACAAAGTATGGAAGCCTCACTGCCGGACAGACAATTCCAGGTCAGCATCTTTCTTTCTGCTCGGCTGTATAGTTTTTAAATAACATCATCCAACCACTTCATGTCACAGAGATGCGTTAAAAGCCAAGAGCTCAATCGCATTAAAACTATGAACTTCAGTGTGTTTTAGTGAAATTTTATGAGCTTCATTTACCAAGAATGCTTTTATTTTTGTAAAAATTTTTGTTAAAACCACAAACCATAATGTATTTTTTGGAGATTTTCTGTCATGGACCAACAAAAATAGTTTAAAATCTAAAATAGGAAGAAACAAACAAAACAAAACAAAATCTTGCATCATGCAAGTGTTGCATGTGTATGTTCTCTGCACCTCTGAGGTAATCTTATGTAGAACTACTAATGGTTGCACTAACAGTCATTTAGTGTCCGTTTCTGTCAGCTTTGCTGGTTTATGGGCTGAAATTTTACAAAATAGCTCCAGCTTACTTAGATTAAAGAGCGAACTTTAAACACCTTACTCTAAATTAGTTGTAGCCTTTGACTAGGCCATTTTAACACATAAATATGCTTTGATCTCAGTCAAACTGTAGTAACACAGACGACCTTTTTCCATACGTTTTCTGTGTACCCTGTATGGCTTGTGGCAATCTACACTCACCGGCCACTTTATTAGGTACACCTGTCCAACTGCTCGTTAACACTTAATTTCTAAGCAGCCAATCACATGGCGGCAACTCAGTGCATTTAGGCATGTAGACATGGTCAAGACAATCTCCTGCAGTTCAAAGCGAGCATCAGTATGGGGAAGAAAGGTGATTTGAGTGACTTTGAACGTGGCATGATTGTTGGTGCCAGAAGGGCTGGTCTGAGTATTTCAGAAACTGCTGATCTACTGGGATTTTCACGCACAACCATCTCTAGGGTTTACAGAGAATGGTCCGAAAAAGAAAAAACATCCAGTGAGCGGCAGTTCTGTGGGCGGAAATGCCTTGTTGATGCCAGAGGTCAGAGGAGAATGGCCAGACTGGTTGGAGCTGATAGAAGGGCAACAGTGACTCAAATAACCACCCGTTACAACCAAGGTGGGCAGAAGAGCATCTCTGAACGCACAGTACGTCCAACTTTGAGGCAGATGGGCTACAGCAGCAGAAGACCACACCGGGTGCCACTCCTTTCAGCTAAGAACAGGAAACTGAGGCTACAATTTGTACAAGCTCATGGAAATTGGACAATAGAAGATTGGAAAAACGTTGCCTGGTCTGATGAGTCTCGATTTCTGCTGCGACATTCGGATGGTAGGGTCAGAATTTGGCGTCTACAACATGAAAGCATGGATCCATCCTGCCTTGTATCAACGGTTCAGGCTGGTGGTGGTGGTGTCATGGTGTGGGGAATGTTTTCTTGGCACTCTTTGGGCCCCTTGGTACCAATTGAGCATCGTTGCAACGCCACAGCCTACCTGAGTATTGTTGCTGACCATGTCCATCCCTTTATGACCACAATGTACCCAATTCTGATGGCTACTGTCAGCAGGATAATGCGCCATGTCATAAAGCTGGAATCATCTCAGACTGGTTTCTTGAACATGACAATGAGTTCACTGTACTCAAATGGCCTCCACAGTCACCAGATCTCAATCCAATAGAGCATCTTTGGGATGTGGTGGAACGGGAGATTCGCATCATGGATGTGCAGCCGACAAATCTGCGGCAACTGTGTGATGCCATCATGTCAATATGGACCAAACTCCCTGAGGAATGCTTCCAGCACCTTGTTGAATCTATGCCACCAAGAATTGAGGCAGTTCTGAAGGCAAAAGGGGGTCCAACCCGTTACTAGCATGGGGTACCTAATAAAGTGGCCGGTGAGTGTACAAAAGCCTTTCAACATTTTTTCAGTGATGTCATCATTTCTCTATAAAACCAAGATTTCCAGGATTTTACTGCAAAAATAATGTCCTAATTAAAGCTATGAATCTCTGTAATTCCTTCAGAGTTGCAATAGTTCTCTTGGTTTCCTCTGGTTGCAGACACCCTTATCTGGCCTTCTCCATTTAGGTGAAAGGCCAAGTTTTGGTAGGATTTCACTTTCTCAGATGCACTTTTCAGAAGATGGACTGAGCCTGAAAACACCACCTGCATGCTTCTACACAATGTCACCCCACAATGTATCCATCTCCATGCTGCTGTTTGACCACTGATGATCACAAATAAACAGAACGGTTGACTCTACGCTTAGATTAAATAACACACACGTGGAATCTGATCTGATTGCAGATCAAATTCCAGTTCATCCAGCATCTGGATGAACTGGAATTTGTTTAAAAGCATCAGGATAAGTTGGGACTACAGATAAGTAAGATGTGAAAGTTAAATCATTAGGAAAATCTTTAGTTTTAACTATATTTATGCAACTTGCACAATTAAATACTTTTCATTGTAAATGCAATTAAAATTTACCAATTTGCACAAGTAACTCAACTAAATTTTACAAATGTAAACAAAAATACTGTTATTTTGATTAATAATTTACAGTTGATATAAACTGTTCCACCATAGAGTAGCTAAGCTTGTTATAAACAGCAAACACTGGAGCTACAGTACTTACATTGGTGAGAAAATATGGCATTGCTCAGTATCCAGGGGAACAGAGAGAGAAGCACAGGCCCTGAAAGATAAGCAGTCAGCAGAAATAACAGAACTTTCTTCATATTTGCCACAGGCAAAGTGATTTTCCCTAATTCTCTTTAGGCTCCAGATCTGCTTCCTGGTTCAGTTTGGGTGGAGCAGCAGATAAACCAGCAGGAGTGTTGGGAAATATAGGGAAAGGAGGTCAATGTTCATCTCCCTTCTGCTGCTGCTGCTTGTTTATGTTTCAAAAAGGGAGACAGACGTAAAGAACAGGTTCTGTCTGCTAAAGAAAGTGATGCATTGTTCATCCTACATACATAACCAGTCCAACCAGAGGAGATTACAAGGTCAATGACCAGCAAACACAGAGCAAAGCATTGTGGGAACTGGAGTTTTTCTTCTTCTAATGAGGTTTTATGGCTGTTGGCAAACTTGTGAGAAGTGCATTACTGCCAACAACTGATATGGAGTAAAGCAAGGAAACAGGAAATGATTCACTCCAAAAAAAAAAATGTTTAACTTAACCCAACATAATAAATACTAAATCACCTTATCCCTCATCATTTTTATTTATCTTTAATTCATTGTAATTCTGCCAGTTTCTGATGCTCCTATTGGTTTTCCCATCATGCTTCCAACCGTTTAAGTCTTAAACTTCCAGATATTTTCTGCAGCTTTCACTATTATTACGTCTGTGCACTACAATTGATCTCTTCCACCATGAATAGAACAAAATCTTTCTTTTTAACAATCAGTGAGTCTTCTTCAATTTTTGGACATTTCTCCAGAGGTTTTGAATTTGCCGTGTGTTGAACTGTTGGTTTGTTTTTTTCTAACTGAGATGGGATCCTTTTTGCAGCTTCAGCGTAAGTTATTGCGAGCTCAAATTAAAAAAATTTTAATTTCCTCAAACCTCCACCACAGAGGAACTGCAGTTCTCTGTACAAATGCCTCTTTATACTAATAATAATAATAATAATAATAATAATAATGATAATAATACTTTTATTTGAAAGGAGCCTTACAATGCACCCTAGGTCACCTTTCAAATATAAAAAAAGATCAATAATAGGGTGATTGAGGTTGTGTGTAAATATAGTTATGTTAAAGAGAAACATTGCAGCCAATGAGCTTGCAATCATTTTTTATTTATAATTGTCTTCATGGCTTCAGTTGTGCTCATCATTTATTTAATCATTCTTAAGCTCCAGTTTTATCATTTGATAGCTTTTTCTATGCACTTTTGCTTACGATTGTTTAGGGATTTTTATGTTTAGTGATGCTTTATTCTAATTATAGCAATGATTATAAGTTAATCATTTAATGCTAAACATACTTCAGTTGTGGCCCTCTTGATGGTCCCTTTCCAAGTGATAAAAGCTATGCCAGATGACCCCAAACAACAAATCAAGGTTACACAAACAGATCAAATTTTGCCCTAAAGCAAATTGGTTATATGGGTTTTATTTTGTTTTTTGTCATTGTTCAGACTAAGCAGCAGGATAGTAAAAAAGTGGAATCTAAAAACACTAAAACTGCTTCCAGATGATACGCAGACTACGTGGATTTAGAAAAACACTTGTTTAGACCAGGGGAATGTTTGCAGAATTAAAAAAAAATCCCAAAACACACTATGGATTTGGTCTAAACCAGCTGTCATGTAAGAACAGGAAACTAATGCTGCTGTTCACACTGGCTCACCAAAGTTGTTCAGTAACACCCCTATGTAAGCTTCAACATTAAGAGTTTCATATTTAACTGTTATAAAATATAGATCCATATTGCCTTATTTCAAAGTTTCAGTGGGATTTGATGGCAGATTCTCAGCCAGGGCCAACAGGATATTGATGCTTATCATCACTCAAAGAATTAAGAAAGATCTAAAAGCAAAAGTGGTGCCACCTGGTGATGAATATCTAAGACAGATAGTGAGGTCCACCTTTATTCATAAGCATAGGAGATTTATGTAATCAGCAGAGATGGGAAGTAACGAAGTACAAATACTTCGTTACTGTACTCAAGTAGATTTTTCTGATATTTTTACTTTACTTTACTACTTATTTTTATGGCGACTTTTTACTTCTACTCCTTACATTTTAACACAAATATCTGTACTTTCTACTCCTTACATTTTAAAAAATTGTCTCGTTACTTTAGTTTTGAATCATTTCAATGGAGTTACCGTTATTATTTTTCACGTCATCAATACCAAATTCAATCTAATTGGATGGGAATCTACGTTGCATTTGACGCACCACTACAAGATGAATCGACAGATTCGGCGGTATTCATTGGCGGCAAATCATTGCAGCTTGGTGGCGGTGGCGTTAGCATAGTAGCATGGACGACGAGATGATTGAAAATGAACACAATGGAGATCTAGTCCTATTGGCAGACATCCATTTAAAATGTAGGCAACGGCATGAAAAAAGTGGTTTCTACTTTTACTTTTATACTTTAAGTAAATTTACCAGCCTGTACTTTGTTACTTTTACTTAAGTAAAGAAGTTTAATCAGTACTTCCACTTTTACCAGAGTATTTTTTTAACACAAGTATCTGTACTTTTACTCAAGTACGGAAAGTGAGTACTTTTGCCATCTCTGGTAATCAGGTGTTTGCTTGTATTTTGCCTGGATGTGATAGATAGAGGACTATTACATGTGTTGAAATAGCTCAGTCCAAGTCCTAACTTTAATCTCATGCATAATCTAGCGAGGTAGCAAAAGATAAGGGTGATGGCAAAGAGGCCTTCTAACTTAAAAAAAAGAGCTCATTACCCAAGGTTATTACTCGAAATATAACTGGTAGCACACAAATAAGCCGGTCTGCTATTAAAAAAAAGGGTTTGATTGCTGCAACTTGAATAAAGTTTTATTCAACTGATTAAAAATGTTTCAGGTATTTTTTTAAGTTTTTTTAATACTATGTAAAGGAAAATCAACATCTCAGAGATGTCTGACTCATTTCTATCAGAAACAAACTTATTGTAAAAAGATATTTTAAGTCTCATTTTTCAAATGTAAGATCAGGTATAATAAGTCAAATACAATGTTTAAGATTTCTTGTTGGCTTTCTGTTTTGTTTAGCACCCATTGGATTATCAGTAGGCCACATGACCTATCCTATGAAGAGTTTCTTGAGGCGTCCCTGAGTTTTCAACCTTTTTCTTACAGAAGTTCGCTACGGTTGTGTGTTTTTCCGTACAAAGAGACCCTTTGAAAGAGAAACATGGTAAGCTTTAGAACAGAGGTCATCAACAGGGGGGTATTGCATAGGGGTCGCAAAAGTTTTGGTTGATTAGACTTTTTTTTTATATTGAACCCTGCAATTTTTTCCACTAATTGAAATGTCTATGATTACGCATTAACATGAATTCAACACACTGGATAAATGGAGGCAGAAGATGTCTTTCAGTCATCAATGCTCACATTCAGCGGCACACAGGAGCTCTTTCAAGCTGGGCACCGTTTCATTCACAACACCTGTCCCATCAACCAGGAATCAGAAATACTTTAATAATCCCAGGAAAAAATTACTTTAGTTACATTACTCCATCTGTAAGAGTGACTATAGGACCAGTTTGATATAAAACAATTTCATAAAATATATATAATTATGGGGTCCCCGCTCCATCTCGCCATCAGTTTGGGGGTCCTTAGCCAGAAAATTTTTATAAGGGTTGCCAGGCAATATCCAATGTACACCGAGGGGTGGCCGAAAATGGATCGACACCAGAACCTTAGTGTCAATCTATACTGATCCAACAGGATAATTAAAAACCACAACATCCATATTTTCAAAATAAATACTAACTATACTTTCCTCCACCCTTTGATAACAAATAGACACATATTTAAACATCCATGCTTCCTAGTTATAAGTTATAGTGGATAAAGTTTTCCATTGTCATTACTTACCTACTTTTATCGATAACCATTCTGCATAAAATTGATCATTACAAGTACTAATATCTACAAAAATTAAATTAAAATAGTTATTTATCTATGATTAACCGAAGAATCCGAGATGACTTACATTTTCTCTTTACCCTATATAACAACATCTAGTTCTAAAAAGAGCAGGAATTCTGTACTTATCATCTTTAATGTTAGTATATTGATGTGCATAATTAACCACAGTGTTTTTGTTGTCAAGTAATTGTTAATGTATGAAAAATGTATGCAAATGTGCACAGCGCCCCCCACTGAAAAAGATAGGCAGCCCGGTCAGCAAGGACCTGAGGAAGAGCGGCTGCTGACGTCACTCTGCTGCGCCTGCCGCTCAGAATGCTTTTTCTGTTTCGAGTACTTTGCTGGCAGACCACGAAAACAAAAAAGCAATGTCCGCTGTGTTTCTCTTTGATTGTGGCATAAAATGTGCAGATAGGATATTTGCAAATGCAAATAGGATGAGTGATTACTAATTTCATTTATGAGTCAAATAATGCAGCCACATTCTTAAAAATGAAAAAGTATTTCTGGAAATGGTTTTTCATTTTCAAATTTTACATTTCAGATTGAATTTTGGTATGTATTTGCTGGGGTACATTTTGAAAAATAAAACAAATGTCTTCTTTTTTATTTTAATTTAGTAAAAAGATGAGCATTGTTAAAGACGAAAATTTAAGTGCAAACAGGGTTATTGATTACTAATTTCATTTGAGTCAAACAATGCAGCCACATTCTTAAAATGAAAAAGCATTTCTGAAAATGCTTTTTCATTTTCATATTTTACATTTAAATTGAATTTCGGTATGTATTTGCTGGGGTACATTTTGAAAAATACATTTGAGATGTATTTTTCATTTTAATTAAGTAAAAGGATGAGCAGAGTTGAAGAAGAAAATGAAAATGCAAACAGGATTATTGATTACTAATTTCATTTATGAGTCAAACAATGCAGCCACATTCTTAAAATGAAAAAACATTTCTGAAAATGCTTTTTTATTTGAAATATGGTAACGATTTGCTTCCATACAGTGACAGAGTTCAAAGACAGTGGTTGCTAGTAAACGGAGCAGTTCTCCTTCTGTCCACTAGGGGGAGAAAGGAACCAGTCAGGCCGCTGCTCTCAGTAGCCCCGCCCCTTCCTCTATCAGCCGCTTTTCAAAATCCGCTACAAACCTCTGGAGGGATTGAACATCCAGAGTGACTCAAGGAAGCAGGGAAAGAGATTTTTTTCCTCAGCAGACTGTAGTTTTTCCTCAGGAAGAAGGAGCCGTTCAGCTCATACTCTGGGCCTCAGAGGAAAGCCTCCCTACCAGGATAAACCCGGCGGCGCTGCCAGCAGCCAAACATCCTCTAAACTTTTTATTTTATTGACATTTTACCACAAAGATTTGGATCTGAGAAGCAGACAACTGTTAGCCGAGTTTGGGGGCTTCGGTAAGTTTTTCATTTATTTATTCATTATTGCTCAAACTAACAAAATTAAAGCTTTAGTTGAAATGTTATTTCTCTTTCTTGAAGATGAAGTTTGCTAAATGTTTCCTTTAAACTGTGAAATTAGCTGTTAGCTTAGCCCATCATTGCTCTATAAGGTTAGGCTGTTAAACGCCAAATATTCATGTGTCTCCAACTTTTAAAGTTTGTTAATAATGAATAAAAATCTACATCTATAAAGCTAACCAATGAGGTTTATTCAAAATAAATAAACATTAGTTGGTATCTTCCTAACGTTGTTTAGATGGAAAACTCTTCTTATTGGTCCCTGTTGATCCATAAACATTAGATCATCCTTTATTTTGCTTTGAACATTTCTGCTGAATTTAGGAAATTCATAATAAGGTATTAGGTGAGATCTTTCTTAAATTAATAACTTTTATAGCTGTGCTTAGTGCAAGAAATTATCAGTCAATTTCTGAGCTGCAAACTTAAAGCTGTATAGAAGATGGAAGAAATATAAAGTGTATATTTTTATCTTTAAAATGTGTGCTGCAGGTCCTGGTTGGATGATTTTGTTAGGGAAAAAATGCATATTGTTTTTTTTTTTTTTTGTTAATCTGCACCACATAATGTTAATTTTCTTTAACTTATTTTGTATAGTAATGACCAAACTAAAATGTATTTTTCCAACTCTTCAGTGTTTAGTTTATTGAGTTACTGGCAGTGAACCCACAGATTATTGCTCAATCAAGAGTTCATTTATTTAGTTAGTTTTGTTAAACTGTTAATACTTGTTCTTCCAATCAAAGATTACCTTTGATTAGAGAAAAATTTATACTTTTTTCATCTTTGGATTATTGATTATGGACAAAAGTCAAGTTTTTCTGTCTTTGTTTGTAGCCTTTTTAAAACAGAAAGAAAAAGCTACTCTAGATTTTGGGTTTGTGAAATAATCCCTCATTCCTTCATCATTGCTTTTGTTCAGTACGTGGAAACATACAAATAGTGTATTTCTTTTCGCTTGTGTAATGAAATATCCACGATGTTGTGGGAGCTATTCTCAAATTTGGAAATTTTGTGTATATAGAAGTTTATCTAGATGCTCTGTGTTCCAAACTTTTCTTTCTTATTTTCTTTCTTTATATTTATTCCCCTGCATAATCCAGATTTTAACAGAATGATAAATTATTGTCATGATTACAGCAATGCCCTTGTTTTTAAGCAATACACATGATCTGATACATGTTTCACTTGTTGCTCCCCTCTTTGATGAGTCTCTTCTGCATCCGTTAATTAGTTTAAAAACAAAACAATAAAACAAAATAATTTGTGACATATCTTCATTTAATTATTGACACTATAATGATGAACTGCTCTTCGACGTATCAACAGGCTGCTAATTTAAAAGAGAAGAAGAGCACTTTCCTGACTAACATCTGCTGGAGATAATGAATGCAGTCACCTATGAATGCTGGGATGGCGTGCAGGGATTAACCGCATTGTTATAAGTTGGAGTGGGTGATCTTTGGGTCGCAGCAGCTGTCGTCTCCTAAGCAGCTCTGATGTAGCGGAGGTGAAAGTCCAACAGGAGAGACTGATGAAAGCAAAGAGAACCAGCTTCAGATGAACATACATTTTTAGATCCCTCCAGTTTACTCATCACTCACTTTCTTTAGAGGGATTTGTTAAAATGAGCTCTATTCTCAATAAAAGTCCAGATGTAGGGCCCTGATTGATTTTTGTTAGGAGGCAGCTATTGTTTGGGTTGAAAGGCGGTCCCCGAGTCTGGAGTGTGGGGGACACCTGGCCTGCCTGAGTGCTTGATGATCTCTGAGAGCAGCTGGAGAAGCAGAAGGGGTCAGACGGCACATGCACAATGCAAAAATGCTCAATCTGAGCGTGGGGAGCGCTAACTTTTCAGATAGGAGCCTACTTTAATTAGTCAGACTATTTGCTGAGGTAGCTGAGCTCGGATTGTGTTTGTTTTTCATATTAGGAGATTCTTCTAAACAGCCAAATAAGATTTTTCTTGCAAGCCAATGGAAGATCTAGTGGGTTAATTACAGCCAGCTGACCAGCAGTATGCAGCATTAGTGGGGCGGGTCTTCTCTCAGGCGTCCAGTTAAGATGACTTTTAAAGTTAAAAAAAAACAGCACATACCTAACTGTAGGTAGGATGAGGAAAAAACTACCCCATCTTGCTGCTCTTTCTCATTTTCTGCCTGAGGCTCCAGGTTGCTCACATGACTCTGAGTTCAAGTTTTGTTTTCCCTTCTGTTCCTGATAATCCATTCTCTGTGTTATCAACCATCTGGGATCTGTAGTTTCTTTTTTTTTTATATTGCAAAACAAAGTTTTCACTACTTTAGAGAAATGGACGCTCTCAGTTGAATGCCAAGTTCAACCAGCGTTATTCTCTTTTCAATAAAACCAAACGAAGCATCATAAACGAAACTGAAGAACTGGATCTGTTGGTTTGTAATTCATGGTGTGAACCAGTCAATGTTGGGACAGTGACCCTGAGTAACCTCTCTTCCTGTACTTTGTTGTAAACATTTGATCATTTTACTGCTCTGTTATCAGTCCCCTTGGATCAGATCAAACATTTGTTCCTGAAGGATCCGTGTCGCAGCTCAGACGGCACTTCGATCCTTCAGACTCTACAAGGTTACATTTCTCTGCTTTCTTTTCTTTCCTTCAGCTGGTTTTAAATGATTCTGATTGTGTAACCACCGTAATCGGATCCAATAAAAGCATCTCTTCCACTGCTTCTGAAGAAGTGTGTGTTTAAAGCTCAGTTCTTGAGCAACATTTACCTGATAGTCTCCTTGCTGTAATTGGATTAGCCAAAGCCTCCGCCTGGCATGACGCTGGAGGAGTTTGTCAGAAGCTCGGTTGCTGAGCGGCTCCCTCAGCGTCGTTAAAATTGACGCTCCCACCCTGATCTGTAAACTTTCATTTATTTTGCAGCTGACTGTGAACTTGTGCGTCTTTATCGTTCAGGGCAGGCTGCTGTCCTGTGGGATGGATGACGGCCAAGAGCAGGACAACTCTGAGGAGCGCCTGAAGGAGGTTTTCTACAGCTTTGACTCAAGTGGCTGCGGCTCTCTGAGTCCGGAGGAGCTCTCTGACCTCTGTCAATCTCTGCACCTGGACAATGCAACGCCTATCCTTCTCCATCAGCTTCTCCAGGACCAAGACAACTTCTCTGCCAGGGTGAGATTTATTATCTCCTTCAGCAAAGCGAAGGTCCTTGAAAGTCTTGAAACGCCTTACAAAGTCTTTGAGAAAGATCTTCCTGGATATTACAGAAATGCTGTTTAGCTCCAGGACTCGCTGAATTCTGATCCCACTAGAACTCCCACTGGCCGCCAATTTGACTGCTGACATTTTCCCCAACGGAACGCATTAGGAGTGATGTCATCAACTGAGATGGCTCTAGTGTGTAATATAAACCCATTGTGGATACGTAAACCTTAAATCAGGTCTAATATATATTTTTCAAAGGCTGAATTGTACGCTATTATTATTTGCGTTCTAAATTTGTATCCATACACAGGTTCAAAGTTTTAATTACAATTTTATTTACAGAAATTGATTGATTCTCCCCAAACATTTCCCACAGACCACCTTTTCACATCTATGACAAACGTAATATGAGCGTTTTTTGTGCAGCGCTGGAGCACCTTGAGCTGTTCTCTGCGCCTCACTAAAGCTGCTCTTCAGCGACGGAGGGGCTGGAAACCTGCGGTTTGCCTGCAACTGTTTTACCCGTTCAAGGATAAAATCTCTGCGTGAAAAAGTGACCTTCAAACGGCTCCTGAACAAAACCAATTCATTTATAGCTGATATCATAAATTACAGCCACAGGCCACTGGAGCTTTTACAGAATCCTTTCTAATCATTGATCCGACACATCCACTCCAACCTGTGTGTGATCATAGTGGACTAAAGGCTCTGGTTTGGCTTTTGGGTGGATGTGGACCGGCTGATGTGTGGGCAGTGCTTCAACAAAAGTTATACTATTTTCTGATGGGTCACTGATACGTCTGCGTTTTCCCCGGAATGGGTGATCATCCTCGGACTCGCTGTCAGAATCGGAGCCGCTTCCTACCTACAGTAGTAGTTTTGCAAATTACAGGGTTTCTGCAGGTCATTAAAAATCATTGAAAGGCATTAAATAATTTTTTTTTTATAAATTAAGGCCTTAATTGGCATAAAAATTCATTAAATTTGATAATCGTGGCATTAAAATTCTTCGGGAAAAGAAGCTTGAGGCGGAGAAAAGGCTCAAGTTGGGAAAGGGAAAATGGAAATTTGAACCAAAGTTGCGGGAAATATATATATATATATATATATATATGTATATATATATATGTATATATATATATATATATATGTATATGTATATATATATATGTATATATATATATATATATATGTATATATATATATATATGTATGTATATATATATATATATATATGTGTATATATATATATATATATATATATATATATATATATATATATATATATATATATACATATATATATATATATATATATATATATATATATAGTCATGGGAACTTGTTGATTAAGATTATTTCTAAGAGCATTAAAAAGCATCAAATCAGAGTTACTCGTTGATGTATAAACCCTGAATTAGCATGAAGCACATCCTCTAATTGTGTTCATTTCTTTCCCTTTCCAGAGGAAAACCTCTTAGTATTATTGGCTGCTCTGCTACAGCCCGGCTCCTTGTCTGTATACATGTTACTGCTTTGTTTGCCCTCTTGTTGAGAAAATCTCCCTCTCATTGGCTCTCATTCAGTGCGTCTATCACCAAGACAACCAGTCTAGTTAATCATTACTCGCAGGATTTCTTTCTTCATGTGAATATCTAAAACAAAAGCATGAATTAAATATTAAAACTGTTTACGTGTGATGTTGACTGATAATTCTACTTTCAGTTTGTTCTCCATAGATAGTTTTTTTCCAAAATGCTTCCCTCCACACTTGCCTGAGGTTTTGTTTGTGTATAAGCGTGTTGCAGACGGGTGCTTATTGTCTTGCATCTGCGGGTTTGTGTGTAGGCAGGGGGAAACGCCAGACTAGAGGCCAATTAACTGATTGCACCATCATGGCGCTCAACAATAACGTCAAAAAGAGAGAAAGAAGATAAAGGATTTCTAAAGGCGCCAGCCGTCGGCCTCCAAGGCACAAAGGAAATCTGCATATTCAGGGTTGGCAGCTGCTGATTGTGGAAGTATGACCTCCTTTGCTCCCGATCCAAGCCGCGGACAGCCAGGGACACCCGCTATCAAGCCGAAAATTACAGTCAGCTTAAGGAATTTGGTAAAACTTCCTTTGTGAAAGATGCGAGATATTGCTGGAATTCTGCACCAAGAACGACAAGCCAGACTTTTCTATAAAAATCAACAAAACCTAACTTTAGATGCAGTTTTCTTTTTAATCAAAAGCCAATCAATGTAAGCCTCAATGCATTCATAACTTCAGGTACTTCAGTACTTCCTTATCCACCCCAGGCCATTTAGATTTTTGTTTGTTTGTTTGTTAATCCAGTTCCATCTGCAGCAAAGCTTTGTTGTGTTCTGCTGCATCATCAGTTTGTGGAAAAACACCAGAGCTGATTGGGATGAGCTGATCCCACCACCTCTAAGATCTTTAGTTTACTTTTTAAAAACTTTGTGACTTTGTAAACTTCCAGCTGTGTTTTTGTTGGAGTATATTTGTCAATGTGGGGGAATAAAATGCAAGTTGTAGGTTTTAAAAAATAGTTTTATCCAACATTTTTTTGTTTGTTTTATTTTAGGTTAATTTTGACCAGTTCAAGCATGCCCTCATCCTGGTTTTGTCATCAACCATTGAGCCCCAAGCTGAGGAGGAACCCGTGTCAGAGCCAGGTAACGTCTGGATGAATAACAGTCAAGTTAAATATTGAATATGGAAGCGTTGCTTTACACAAAGTCATCCAAGTGTAGAAGGTGAGCTGGAGCCCCTATGCTGACTCTGCGGCAAACTAGCTGACTGTTGTGTTTCTGCGTCACGACTGTCACTCTGATACGTCTTCATATTACACAAACAGGAACCTGCCATTTTAGTCCAAAATAGATTAATATGGAAGAAAAACAGTATCATTGGATTCTGCCTTATTTTTAACACAGAATTTTAAACACAGAATTTTTTTAGACATTGAATTCCTTACACTCAATTTTTAACTGGTAAAAATTCAGAAATTCTTTTTTTCTTCTTCATTTCGGCCAGCGGCCGGTTTGCCCCCGGCCGCTTCTTCTGGATCAAACTAAGAGCCTTGGCAGACAGGGGTGCCGTACTAGCTGTGGTCGGCTCAGTTGTTTCACCCAGTCTGATAAGAGGAAAAACTCTAATAGCTGTCTGTTAGTAGCTAACTGACGAACAGCGCTGAGCCCAGCCGTTGTGACCAAATGAGCTAATTTAATTAGCTTGAAGCTGCTAGACTCTATCGAGTGTAGATTGCTTTCGCTTGAGTTCACCAAAAGGTCAACACATTTATGGCTGAATTTTTTTCTGGTGAATTTTTAACAGATAAAAATTGAATGTAAGGAATTCAATGTCTAAAAAATTCAGCGTTTAAAATTCTTTGTTAAAAAAACCCAGTGTTTATAATTCGGTGTTAAAAAAACTCAGTGTTTAAAATTCGGTGTTAAAAAAACTCAGTGTTTAAAATTCGGTGTTAAAAAAAACTCAGTGTTTAAAATTCGGTGTTAAAAAAACTCAGTGTTTAAAATTCGGTGTTAAAAAAATTCAGTGTTTAAAATTCGGTGTTTAAAAAAACTCAGTGTTTAAAATTCGGTGTTAAAAAATTCAGTGTTTAAAATTCGGTGTTAAAAAAATATCAGTGTTTAAAATTCGGTGTTAAAAAAATATCAGTGTTTAAAATTCGGTGTTAAAAAAATATCAGTGTTTAAAATTCGGTGTTAAAAAATATCAGTGTTTAAAATTCGGTGTTAAAAATTCAGTGTTTAAAATTCGGTGTTAAAAATTCAGTGTTTAAAATTCGGTGTTTAAAAAAATCGGTGTTTAAAATTCTGTGTTAAAAAAACTCGGTGTTTAAAATTCTGTGTTAAAAAAACTCGGTGTTTAAAATTCGGTGTTAAAAAAACTCGGTGTTTAAAATTCGGTGTTAAAAAAATTCAGTGTTTAAAATTCAGTGTTAAAAAAAGGCAGATTCCAATGTTTATCTTCCATAGATTAAATGCTCTGATGGTCGATCTTGATAGACGGATGGTAAAGGTAAAAGTAGTTGTTTTAGTTAACATGTCAGTGGAAAGAATAATATTTACATATCAGGTGAATTTCCTGGAAAAAAACGCCTTAAACACTCTTGATCTGTAACGTGATAGCAAGCTTTGTTTGGTCAGCGAATTTAGAGAAGTTGTCAGCTTTAGAGAAGTGGCTGCTGGAGATGTCGAGTGTATATTAGTCACAGAGGTTATTCTTAGCCTTCATGTCTGGACTTGAACTAGAGGTGCTTAAAATAAATCAGACAACAGCTTTTAATCAGCTTTTATAAGCAGAAAGGTCAGGATGCTTTTTCCTATTTATTAAATGCACCAACACCAATAATTCTTACCATTTTGTGTGCATAGATGCATCAAATAAACTGGTTTCCTAAAGAAGAACTGTAAATTTTTTGATTTGTGCGTATGTACTTTCAGCATATCAGTTTTTTGAGTGACATCATTAGAAGCAAATGGGGGATAAGTTTTTACTTTTTGTCATCGTTTTCCTACAGAGTCTCCTGAGATCCAACCGAAGTTTGTGAAAGGCAGCAAACGTTACGGCCGCCGCTCCACTCCAGAGTTACTGGAGCCGCCTCAGAACCTGTCTGAAGTTACCAACATCAACGCAACCGCTGAGGAGGATTTGGAGGACAACTATGACTCGGCGGTTCCCAGGAAGCGTGAGGTAAAGAGTTTTTCTGCATCGTAATGTTTTGGATGCCATTCTTATCACCTCCTGTCCTTGCGTGTATTTTTTTAACACGGCATCCTCAGCCTGGCATTTAGGCAGTATTCTTAGTTAATCAGCTTAGTGCCATTCAGAGCGGGCCTTAAAATGTAACGTGGATGCTCCAGGGCTGGATTTACGGGACACGGTCGATTGCACAACTCTGTGCTCTCTGTAAATAACAGGAACATTAATTCCTGTTCAAAAAGCCTTGGATTATCAACACGTAACCAAGGTTGGTGCCACGTCTCTGAATTCTGACACCATGGCTGGAGCTTTGCTTCCACATTACCTCCTAAGAGTTACGGGATGGTAAAATCCCGAGCACTTTAAGAATGGCCGCCATGACCTTTGGATGTTTGGTTTGACCTTTTCTGTGAGACATTTGATGAAAAGTTGTTTTTTTCCTTTAAGGGACATGAGAAACCTGCAGATCTGCAGCATCTCCTCCCTGTTTCTGTGATTTCATTTCCAAAGTACAACAGTTATATATCTTTTATTAAAGCTAAAATTCCTACTTTAGCTGACAGTTGAGAAATACTTAAAGGTGACTCTTTGAAAGCATATTTTTTTATTGCATTTTGTAAAAGATCCGTAATTTACTTTAATTATTTTCCAAGTTGTGGATAAGCATAATGAGACGATTCAGGTTCCAGAATTTCGTTTTTACACTAATTAAACTAAAATATACAAATCAGATCTTTTTACATTACTTTATATTTGGATTATGACCCTTTCTTTGATTAAAACATTAAAACTGCGTTGAACTTACAGCTTGCTTTGTTTTTGGTTCCTTTTTGGGTCAGAAGATGTGGAGGAAAAAAATAATTTGAAATAAAAGATATTTTACTGGGACCAGTTTAAACACCAAACTGCTCCTTTTCTCATTTTCTTTTGTTCTTTTCCTGTTGAACTGTTATTTAAATCTACAGTTTAAGTGAAATATGTTATAATTTTCTCAACTTATTTAATAGAGATTAGAAAATGAACCTGTTTGTCAAGATAGTAGTAAAATCAGATAAAGCTTTATTGTTAATATTTCAAAAACATCTAAAATTGCTGGTTAAAATATGGAAAATTGAAAAATATAGAGTTTGAAATGGAAGATTTTTTGGAGTTTTGTAAAAGTTTGTTTCAGTAAAACTGGTAATGTTTTCACACTAGGGGGTCAACAGGTAATTTAATACACTAGTATCTTAACATCGGCTCAACAGTATCTAGATCTGACTAAAGGGGAGAGGAGTGAGCCAGATGCTTACTTTTTTATTTATTTATTCCATAATAAATTAAAATTCTCTTTAAATGTGATCCCTGAGAGGCATTTGTTCATTTGAGGGTTTCGACTCACTGCTTTTGTTATGTGAAAAGTGCATATTTTAAAATATTTAAGGCTAACCGCGCTGCACTTTTTTCCCGTCTGCTGGTTAAAAACTATTTTTCTTCACTCTGCAAAGCTAGCCAATTGTTCCTGAGCGTGGATGGATGTTAATATCCTCATCTCTGTCTGACTCCCCCCCCCCCCTGATGCCTGCAGCTTGTAGACAAACTCTGAATGGAAGTGTGTCCTGGTATTTATGCTCTTTGCTTATGGGGGCCAGCAGATGGGGCTGGGTCAGGGGGAGGCTGTGCCTCAGAGACCCGGTGTTTTTTGGAGGAGGAGGGTGTAGGAACAATGCTGCACCCCCCACACCCCCTGGATGCCTCCACTCCATGTATGAAAATGCTGCCCCCAGAATCCCATCTGCTCTCTGCTCCCTCTGGGCTGCCTCTGCAGACAAAGGAAGGCCACTCTGGGACTAGTTTTCAGATCATAGGTCCCACCTGCTCAACCGCTTTAATCGGCCCCTGAAAGCAGTGGACTGTGAGAAATCACCACACTGTTATCTCCAGCATTCATTCTTATATATTAACTTTTGTGTTTTATTTCCTCCTGCAGCGCTGGAATCCCAACGAAAGCAGCTCAGAGGAGTACGAGGCTGAGGGTACGTGGGAGTCGGTCATTTCTGAAAGTTTTCTTCAAAGCGATAATGTTTGTCAGCAGTGGATTTGGTTTTCTTCAAAAAGGTCAAATGCATCTTTGGAACCCCGATGAGCCAAGCACGCCCCGGGGAACAAGCGAGCCTCTGTCGGCCCGCGTGGAGGAGCGACTGCGTGGAGCTTGCGAGGAGCTGGAGATGGACTGGGACGGCTGTGCTGCTCACTCTGAACTGCTGGCTCTGTGTGAACATCTGGGCCTGGAGGTCAGTCTGAAAGGGAAGGAAGTTCAATGCCAAGCCTTCAGCTTCTGAGAATGAATAGAAAATTGAAAACAAAAAAGTTATTTTTAAACAACAGCTTTTATTTTCCTAGGTGAACAGTGATGTCCGCCTCAGTCTGACTGATGATGGAGAGATGAGCGTACAGGATTTTTTCTCCAGAGTCGTGAACAACAACAAACCGCTAACGCCCTCCGCTTCCACTCCATATAGGCAACTCAAACGGCATCACTCTACTCAGGTGGGCTACAAGGGTTTTATTAGCAACAAACTGTTTCACACCGCTGCCAAAGATTTCATATAATTTATGGTATACACACAAAGTATTGCATAATTATGAGGGAGAATAATTATCCTTATTTTGCAGCTTTTTTTTCCCAAATAAAAACCTTTATATTTTTTGCACTCCCTACATTAAATACTTAAAAACACAAGTTACTTTTCCATTTTTCTCTTGCCTGCTCAGTAATTAGCTTAACAACCATCACTCATGACACCTCCCTCACCTCAGCTGGGACCCGGGCACCTCTCACAATACCCACCAGGAGTTGACATTCAGGATTTTTTACCACTTGCCCTTTAAGCAAGTGACTTTCACATTTCATTTGCCCAAAAACTATTTTTCCTTGCCCAGTATAATGTTTGATAAATGTAGTTCCTAATATTCATTTTTGTATATATATATCAATGAAACATGATTGTTTTTTAAATGTTTTTTGTAATTCAGTATTTTTTAAGTTTCCAGGTTCCTGGTGTGTATCTGCATGCGTCAGATAATGAACTCCAGCCTACATTACCGTGTTAACATGCTTTTCAATCCTTCCTGCTCATTCTTTTCAAACTAAACTTTGCTTTAAACTGTTGTGTGCTTGGAAAAATGTAAAGTTAAAAATCTAAAAAAAACTTGACAGGTTAAAAACTTAAGATATATCACAAGACAGAAGTCAATGTCACAAATGAATAACTTTTATTTTAGATTCACGGTATGTTTATACAAGATAATACTATTAAGATAATGTGACTTTTCTAGAGAATCATTAAACATAGTTATTTTATTCAGGGTTTCCACAGTCTGACATCATTTCAGAATTCCCTGACTTTTAACAGACTCAGGATTAGTTTTCCCTGACAAAATAAATGCAGCAGTTTGTCGTTTTGGTAACTAGACCAAAATTACCGCTAGGGGGACAAAAATCACGCCATCTGGCGGAAAATCACCCGGCTTTTTCAAATCACGTGTGAATGTGTACAAAACAACAAAAATGGCGCCGGCAATGCTTCTGGGTCGTTTTCATCAAACGTCTGCGATTTTAAAGTAATTTTGAGTGATAAATACACATTTTTTTGCGATCATTGAACTTGCCCGGCGGGTAAATGCAATGAAATTTGTTCTCTCCCGACAATAAAAACTACTTTCCCCGGGAGATCAGGCGATGGTTAACATCGAGCCCTGCCCACCTTAAAGACCCTCCCCTTCACCCACCTAAGTGACACATTTTCCATAAACGAGGGACATTAGCCAGGTTTTTCTTAATGGTTAGCCTCAACCTGATCCACTAAAAGTTCCTGGATGTTTGTATAAATGTTTGAATAAAAGGGTTCTTTTAAGTAAAAGATGACTTCTTTGTGGTTTAACATTTTATATTTATAGAAAATTAAACAAAAATTTATTTAACAAACAGTAAAAGGGACCCATTTTTAACCCCTCTGCTCTTCACTATTCATTGATAACCCTGAGTCTCTATACTGGTGAAGTTTGAAGATGTTTCTCTTCCCATCCAGGGAGCTTTTTCAATTCCAAATGTCAGAAATAGCGTTGAGTTCCAGGTTTATTTGAGGTTTACTTTGTTGGGCCTCTGTATAAAACCTCAAACTCGACACTATTCCTGATTTTTTTTTTTTTATTGAAAAAGCTTCCTGGATGGGAAGAGAAACATCTTCAAACTTGGAAATAAAGTCCAGTGGATTGTTTTTAATTTTCTTTTTTTTGAAACCCTGACTTTCAGTCTGAGGACTTTTGCAACCTCTATTGTTTTATGGATGAATCAAATCCAGTCATATGTATGTCGAACTTAACAGCCTTGATGGTGCCGACCATTTTGTCTCACCGTTATGTCGTCTTCAGTTTGATGCTTCCTGCTTAATTTTATTTTTTAAGATTATTTTTAGATTCTAGTGGCCTTTATTTTGGTATCTTTGAAAGTAGGTAGACTGGAAGGCTGGTTAACAACAGAGGGGAGAGACATTCGACCTGTGAAAGCTGGAATATGGGTCATACCATCATAGCTGCACCCCCCCAACATAATGTTTATAATGACCTTTATAGAGGGCTTTGAATATTTTAGCCATTATAAGGTTTTAAGTTCTGGGAAAGTTTTATAATCTTACTTGCATGACTTTACTATAAATTTAATCTCTGTTTGGTTTCTGTTTGCAGCCGTTTGATGAGGGGGGGCGTAGAATCTCTACTCTGACCAGCACCATCGGCTTGCGTCTGTTCTCTACCCTTGATGATGGGAGCGGTTTCTCTCCGGCTGAATACATCCTGGATGCCTGGATAGAGGAAGGAATAGAGAACAGCGCAGAGATCCTCCAGGTGCCATAATGACGTGGATTTTCTTAGTTTGACTGAGATCGTCTTTCAGAGCAAAAGATCTGCTAAAAATAAATGACTAAACCTGCTTCTTTCTGTTTTTCTCAGGCTTTGAATTTCGACCTGGATGGAAAGCTGAGTTTGGGCGACCTCACTGTGGCCCTTGAAAACGAACTGCTCAGTACCAAGAATCAGGTTCACCAAGCAGCGCTAGCAAGCTTCAAAGCTGAAATCCGTTATTTGCTGTAAGAGTCGTTGCTGTGTTGCCTTTCAGTCCATTAGATATGGAATCATTTTATAAGTAAAATAAGATTTTTAAACAATTCTCAGAACTACAAAATGATTGAGTTCAGGTGACGCATTTCTGTATCTCTAAACTGTTCCCTTCTTTTCAGAGAGCGAGTAGACAGAGAAGCCCGGGAGAAGGAGAAAATCCGATCTGATCTGGAAAAAGCTGAAAAGCAGAAGACTCAGCTCGCCACTGAGGTTGATGAGCATCACTCTGCAATCGAGCAAATGAATAACCTCAATCTCAGGTAATTTATCCATTTTCTGTTTTAGCAGTTAGCCCTCTGATTAAAGAACAAATCAGCATCTCACTATAAACTTCATTTATTCATTAAATAGTCTTTGGTTTTGGGGTTGTGTTTTGCTTTTGTTGATGTGG